GTCTGGAAAGCTTAGGAATGAAGTGTAAAAGTTAGACAAGAATACATTTTTAAATTTTACAATTTCTATCTTCTATATAGTCTGTCTCCGGATTTATTCAAAATACTACGTAGACTGTGTCCCGTTGAGTACAACATCAATTCTCAGAATCGATACAGTGGAATTAGTATGATACACTACGACCCCAGTTATCGAAAATAGTACCACCTATCCCGAGGCGTGTAAAATCATTTGTTTGATAGCTTGCTCGAACCACTTAACTATCCAGTTTGCTCTCCGATGGAGGTTAAGTTATATTCGTTCGCATTACTGGATGGGGTGCTATGATTCCCTGTTGTATATCATCATACTTGGCCGTGCAACGATCGTTCCTCGCCGGCTGGCAACAATCACGGTCGCAATAGACTTGTATACCGTTAGATGTGACCTGCCAGATGAAAATCAGAGAACCAGGAATGTACTTCAAAAGCAGTATTTTGTCCATGTAGTAATAAGAGATTTGAAATGGATACCTGGATTTCTTAACCTGACACAAGCACATTGATTATTAAAAAGACACCATTACATAGTGAAGAACTTTATTTAGGTAAATAAAGAAAAATATATCCCCACAAAATATCATGTTGCATGGGTTTTGGTATTGTCCATATTACCACACGATAGAGGAATTAAGAAACATACGTGCAGCAAGGGTGAATGTTTTCAGTAAACTTCAAACGGGTAAATACAGCCTAGCGATTTATTACCAGAACTTCTTTTATTACATAGGGACAAGCAAGAATTCTATTCGTTGATCAGCAACAGAAACATCAACAACAACTGCGAGTGAATTGGGATTTTTTGAGGAGCATAAAAACTCCTAATCCATTCGTTTGCATGTCTATCCATTCTTGTCACTTAGATTCCATTGGCGTTTGATTAGATGGTGAATATTCCGTTACTTTTCTACGCTACCTTATTGTTTTTTACTCTTTCATCCTCTTTATTTTTCAAAACAATAAAGGAGCAGTTCCCGAGGAGCTCATATCTGTACATTCTACTATGAGTGGTTCGACCGCACAAATGCCCAGTTTGCATCCGTCCGCGGGACTGCGTGCGGTTCCCAGCACCTCAATGCATATCGGCCCGTCCGATACTGTACCGGATTTGTACGGTCGACTCGTGACTGATGACAAAGAACCCACCCCGGAAGAACGATTCAGTGACTTCCTCACATTACAAAGTGAACGCTGTTTGACCACACCGCAAACTTCCGCATGTGGTTCGCTCTCCGCATACGACTGGAACCCGTCTAATCCGGATCATTTGAATAAAACTCCGTCACATCGTGTGAACACACTAAACGGTTTGTTGGCCATACATTTGGTCGCTGGTAATGGGCTGAGTTCATCCCAGATCCTGTTACGTGACCTCTATTGTGTGATTGAAATGGATTCCATACGAAAAGCTCGTTCAATGATTCGGACCAGTACAAGCTATTTTGAATGGAATGAGGTATTTGAACTGGATTTAGAAGATAACCGATTTCTGGCCTTTCTACTCTATCAGTGGGATCCACGAACCAAACATCGGTTGTGTTTCTATGGTGGTATTGATTTACGCAACCTGGTCAATCGGTTATCTGCTTTGCAAACTGGAGTAAAATCTCATACAAATTGTCATGTGCTTCTTAGTCCCGCTTTAAATATTGTCCCCGCAAAGTTTGATAAAATTGCATTACAACTCGAACCGCGAGGAGTATTGTACTTGGAATTCAGCTACTATCCAATTGAGAAGATTTTTCATCGCTATCAATCCCCGGTGGCTGCTAGTATGTCACCTCCCTCGGTGAGTGATGATGTTTTGTTCGGTGTGGATATTGACGAACTAATGGAACGAGAAAGGATTGTGGCCGAACTCTCCGATTGTCGTTTTCCCACTACAGTCGGTGGTGGCTCCAGGCCGGGATCGAATTGTGTCTACATACCCCTGTTTATTCGCAAGTGTATAGAGGAAATTGATCGCCGAGGTACCGAGGTTGTCGGTATCTATCGACTGGCCGGATCGGTGTGGATGAAGCTGCAAGTGCGCGAATTGTTCAATCGTGTAACACGAACCACACTACGAGCAATTTTCCACGGGGACAGAAAAGCACTGGAGGGAATTACCGGGTCCATTGATTTATCACCTGAACGAGTACCGGATATTCATGCAATTACAGGTAAGCTATCAATTGATATTGGAGACGCTATTATTAGTAATAGCAGAAATCAACCAGCCTGGTATCGATTACTTATAGCAAGACACCGATTATTTCATTTCGAAAACAATCAATGTTTATCAAATGCCAGAAACGGTAATGCTCTAAGACGTTTACTACTGAAAGTTATTTCATCCATTTTGAGCATTATGAAAGTCAAAATCATACACCAATTTACTGGTTGTAGCAACATATATCTTAACTTTTCCTTGTGTCTTGTGTAAGCAGAATAATCTGTACGATAATTGTACAGTTATCTTTCGATAATAATGTGACACCAAGAACAGCTATTCACCAAGAAACAGAAGAACATTAATGAGACAAACTCACAATGTTATCGCGGGTGATGATCACGAGTATATTTACACAGGTGTCGAACACAGTGCGATAGAATGTGACAGTCCGGTAGTAATAACTCCCAAAATGTGTTGTACATTCATTTCGCGGTGATTTTCAACCTGGGATACACCGAAGCAACGTCCACAGAGACTGGATGGGTGGGATTGCGAATGAATGTTAGCCGTATAGATCAGTGAAATGAAATCACGGCCTAATATTTGTATTTACTTTTGTTTTCAAATCGAAACACCATAGCCACTCCTTAATGCTGCCATAACCTTCAATGTCTCAACTGAACTTTGAAATTCAATGATTTGTGTAGACAACCGTGATGTATGCTGCAGAGGGTCACCCGAGAGGAACACTGTTGATATGTGTGTTTGTTTGGTCACAGACCGTTAGGAATTATGGACTAGGAGCAGTAATAGTTTAGGAAAAAATATTTGATGTAACTCCAACGTGAATCTTTAGACACTGATATTTGTGGTTTGAGCATGTTCCATAAAGTCATATGAAATCAAGTCGAAAGTGCACCTTAATCCTCCATTTAGGACAGAAATTTCCGTTAATAATGGTCATTACGTCAGCTTTGGCGACTCAGTGGCAAGATATTTCGTAAAAAGGCGATGACGATGAAGGAGAGGAGGAATGCGTAAAGGAAGTAGAAACTGCGAAGTGAATTGCCTGAGGTGATGTAACAGTTCACGTGATGCTCGTTCCCTATAAACCAACAAATGAGAAACATCAGGCATCGCAAAATTGTGGTATACAGCAAGAAATTTACTGCATGTGACAGAAGTGGAGAGGGGGTGAGAGAGGATCGGATGTAGATAATGTGATGCATCAGACAAGACTGAGTCACATGGTTTACGGTGTTGGCTAACAAAGGAGTCAACGAACACCTACCTCATAAGGTATAGTCCTTGTCTAGAGATACTTTTCTAAGATTGTTTGATCAATGTAAAAGCTCAAGACAACAGACATGGGAAGATAACAGAGAAACAGTAAGTTTAATGACTTAAAATTCACAGATAAATAACTTGGGAAGTTGCAAGGGCACCCTCATAAGTCGATGTAGGATGTAAAACATACTTTAGGAAATTCATTTTACATGCGCTAGGACCATTTGAGGTCAGCAAACAGAAATATCCAAGGTATACGAAATGCTGTAACTTTTCAACGGTGAAGTCGGTAGTGAGAATGTTGGGAAAGAGTGATCTGGAATGTCTAGGGTTAAGGGAAAACTAAACTTCAATACATTTGGAGGAGTTTGAAGAAGGGTTAGTACCATCAAAGCACTCAGAAAAATGAACACATGATTGACTGAAGGGGGTTGACGGAAGAGTTGTTGAATGCACCACAAGCTAATATGTCTTCGGCATACTTAAATTTGAAAAAAAAGATTGAGTGATATATGTTGAATAAAAGGGAAGAAAAGTAATATCATCTGAAAGTATATGGAGTAATATAGGGTTAAGGTACAAAGAAGCAGAAAATTTGGTTGTCATATAGATGAGGCCAGATTATCCAGACAGACATCTGGCCGAAGAGATAAGTTGCTACAGGAATCATTCGGAGATCGGCGGATGACAAAGTGATTTGGCATTGATTTGATCAACAAAGTGGCTTGATAGAACAGACAAAATGTAAACTAGTTATTTATAATGATGCAGATATATTGGTGCTGAAAAGTATGCTTTGTGGTATTTACAAGTGTTGATCAAACTCATGCACCACTACTCTCATTTTGGAAATCCATTCCAGTCTCCACTATCATAATTGCATAATGATGGGTACGGATAAAGTGTATTTTTTCCTGTTTTACCTGCCAAAAGAAGTGAGTATTCATGCCGCTTGACGAGTTGGAAGGGAAGTAAATACCAGTTCCCTTGTTATTGGTCTCCTGCACACACCAATCTGGATATCGCAAAATATTTTGCACTGATAAGAGAGGTTTCCGGTGACTGCTATTTTTTAAATGCATTTTCAGAAATCACATTTTTCACAGATGAAGGTTGGTATATCTTCTCGCCTGAGGTCGGTAGTAGAAAACCGTCAGACTTAGTTAAATATTCTTTTTCACATTTATACAGTCTCAGGAGGGGTCAAGTTTAACTTCAAATGCGTTCCATTACCGCGCAGCATCTGGGTTTCTATTTTGATCGAAAACGTTTCCCTGTATCAGAAACAGGAATAGGTCAGCTTTTTGGATATTGGTCGCCAGTGATTAGGGTGTGCGGTTTATCAGAGGAAACTTGTAAATTCTATTTGGCAGTCAATTTGGTGGAATTCATGCTCAAGCGACTGCCTGCGGTGCTCAAAAATGAAGGGCAAATTGAACGTGGATGAAAGTACAATATCTGTATAAAGTCTCCGAATCACTTTAATAAATAAATTCTAGCTACTTTTTCTACTGTGACTTTGTTATTTTACAACTGATGCACAAGCAACCATTATTAAATCGCGAAATGGTATATTTCAAAGACGCGTGGTTAATAGAAATAAAGACATAAGTGGGTATTTTGTTGCATCTGATGTGGGGCAATAGCATATTCAATCCCGTGAACGAGGCTGGAAAACGAAGTATTGAGAGAAACAAATGTAATGAATTTCAGGCTGTTGCACGAGTTCGGTCATTACCTGTATTGTCATAGACGGTCTCAAGTAGAGTATCTGTGGTGTTCCTTTCGACCGTGTCCCAATTGTATCCCACCAAAGGTGAAAAACAGGTCTAGGGTTTCAACCTCTTATCATGAGGATATTGTGAAGATCAATGGAACCACCAAAAATATTTAAGCATTACAATTGATACTCGCAAATATTTTCCACAGCAGAGGAGTGAAGCTCCACAGCGAAAATATCCCTACGGTGCTGCGCATGAGAAATATACACATAATGTGTTATTCTTGATATGAAAAATTCATCGTGATTTTAAAATCTTCAGAGAAAGCAATGATTGTATTTCGAGGTGAAATAGAAATGTTATTCATAGATATCTTCTCCATAGAAAGCATGCATTTGGAAGTAAATATCTCGGAATTTGTGGGTATCATATCATCGATACTTTCGCTCCTATCCATCGTACGCAATTGGTTAACGACTTATTCTAACCACATCTTGTTTGTGCAAGATCATTCGATTTCTATTTTTCACTTCTTTTAACTTATGATTGCACTGGTTCACGCATATCGTTTTACATCCGTACATCTAGAATGACTGGCTTAGTTGCTGCCTGTTTATTGCACCACCATGGGGAAAAAATGCTTATTTCAGGGCTATTTGAATTCAGTCTGGCGGTAAGGGTAGAAGAGAGTGGAAAGAACAGATAGATAAATCTTTCAACAATTCCAAACTTAACATGGAAAAAGCAGACTTTTTTAGGCACAATTGTACTGAAAATTAGAAATTAATTGTTGAATAGAACTCGGATCCGGAGTCATGGGTTTTTTGTTACGAATCTGCAACAAAGTTAACCGAACGATTGCTTCACGCTCTAACTGGCGAATCAGTCAACCAAATAAAACAGAGATGAAAAGCCGCGCGCTAAAACGAATGAGACCGTAAAAGCCGGTGATCCACATGATTTAAAACATCAAGATTAGCAAGATTCCATGGTTTATTTGCATTTTCATTTGGAATTAGTTTGACGCATCTGATAAGTAGCTGGTTATATCAAACTCGTCAAGTAAATGAATGAACATGGAAGGTTACCAACGCAATCTTAATAATATAAATTGAATACGATACATACAATGGTAATGTGCGCAATGACCGACAAAAGGATCTGTAATGAACTCACCGGGGCAAACTTTGTCCCATCATTCGCGTACTAGCCATCATCAGATGTAGGGTAGTTGCATCAGTTCTTTAAGAATACAATGCTAAGCGAGCGATAACAGTTTTCGGTCTGAGCTTGATCCCCAAAGGCCTTTAGAAATGAGCAAAAAGTGAGAATAGTTACGCTTCCATTCTATACTGCCTTGAATAGTTATAATGCATGTAAAAAGTGATATGTTCGATTAGAGGAAAATGATTGTAGTGCACCGGAATACTTTCTGCTCAGTGCTTCTAAGATAGCATCACAAACCACTGAGTAACTTTCAACTTCAGTGTAAACAAACAGTCTGTCATTATATCATGAACACTGTCTTACACTTTTGTAGCCCACGAACTATAGATTGCGGGATATCTTTTTTACTTGCTATCAATAAATTAATCATTGTACAATCGATTTTAAAGATAGAGGTTGTGGACGCTTCAAGACTAAAAGAGACCAGAATGTTAGGGCGAGTGGGTAACAAAACTGCGGTTTACGAAAAACATATTCATGATGTGCGTGTGCATAGGCAAAAATAGGTCTTTTTACTTAGTGCTTCACTAAACTTCCCTCATCGTTTCCAAATGTCACAGGACGTATAAAACTCTGCGAAACCGGTTTCTAACCTTCATTCATATTGCTAACAATATGCATACAAGTATTTTATCTCATGGTAAATGTCGTGATATGCAGAGGAAAAGAAAAGGAATCTGATAATCTGGGGAGCAGTGTGTAGCTTCTTGATAGTTCGCATTATCGCTGCAAATCTATCAGTCCAGCTGTATATTGGGTGCTTAAAAACCCACAGGTCCCCCAAACAAGGCCGTACAATGCTGTCTAGCCCTTGATTCGTAGTTTTCTTTACCCTATAAATAACGACATTTTTCAGAAAGTAAAATTACTTTTTCCCGCTTTTCTTCTCTGATAACATATATATGTGGATCAAGTTCGGTCGGATCACCTTACGACAATAATGCCAGTGTATTATGCGCATGTTTCTTTGGCGTTATTAACGCACACTTAGTAAACGGGGGTAATTCTGGGCATTCTTTTAGCCTAATACTGCTCATATATTTTGGTTGGAATCGGACCCTTCAGATATTTGGTTTGGGAATAAATTAAGCTTTTCATTGAGAACTTTTAATTATAATTACCAAGAAACACTGCTCCAAAGCTAAAATACTTCACAAAAATATCCTACCTCACATCACGAAATCTGCTCCGATAGATCACATTTTCAATGTAAGATTTAACTGTGCGTCTTGCTGATGTCAGTGTGACGTCATTGTGTGAGCACAGATTCGCATTGCGAACTGAAAGTTTCTTTTTCCTCGGGGCAACCACCTCCACATCATGTAACACCCACCACTCATCCCAAATTAGTCTATCACGTTGTGCCATTCATGCCAGGTTTTTTAAAAAGGAAGCCGAATTTTTGTCTTCGAAGAACAAGTACCCGGTTAAAAATTTAGTTTTAAAAAGTATAAATTCACCAATCAAAAAACAATCTGCCAAAGCGTTCCGTAAGATCTGTGTAACTATTTGATGTCTTATCCGTCCACATTGTCGAAGGAATGCATCAAGACTGATATGAGTTTACGCACTCACGATTGTTCGTGATTGAGGGAGTATTCACACACGTTGAAGATGCGAGGGAAGCTTTGTACGAGATCAAAGTTTTCGCGAACCTTTCTAATAAAACGGCTGCAGATGGGTTCTTCAAGACAAAACTTATCTATATGTATGAACAGCCAATGATCACTTCTGCAAAACTATCCGCATGTATTCAAATCATTGCTCAAGCGATCATATGGATAATACTATGATACTGCAGAGATTTCCGCTGATTTTTTAGAGATTCGTTAATGTGAGGTACTTGAAGTATTGAATGTTGTTTACTGTAATATTAAACGTAAAGAGAAGACAAACACTGCCATATGGTTAACATTTCAGTTGCCTATGTTACCTCTTATGTAAACATAACGTAAAACTAATGTAGTATCATTTCAATATCTGCAGTTGGCTAATACTGAGCGAGAAGTAGGGAATATATTCTCAACATGAACTGATGTTAGAACCGTGATAGCCGAATCGCCTGTGTTAAAAATCTTTGTGCTTATAAAATCGAGTTACACGGTGTGGTTTAACACCAACAGCACAAGACTACGATTACGTAGCGAACGATCGAAAGAAAAAAAAACCAGGCTAAGTGTGTGCTTCATTACGATTAGGTTTTCGCAACCGATGATCCTGGGTTCCAGTTAGGATACTCATTGGTTGGTTCAGTTACTTGAGGATGTAATCAAACAGAAGTGGTTAGTACATTTAGGTATCGTTTTAATGTAGACCTTCAGAAATGCATGTGTGATCACTTCACGTCACTTTTTGTTGAGCAGGGAGCGATGAATGGACCGGTTTCTCCATGAGAAGCTTGGTGAAGAACAGTCAAACCCGCTTTGTTGAAACCATTGTTAATATCCGAGTAGGTGCATTGTAGTTCAAGACATTTACAGTTAATCCAATAGGCAAGCTGGAGCAATAGACGTAACGTTATAGCTACTCCGGGATAGTCAGATAATTCCCGCAGAAATCTGCCTCGGTATGCAGCTTACATACTTTCTGGTGTGTCCATATAAGTCCTTTACTTGGGGAGGGGAGGAGGTATCGCCACTCAGTACGCAAAGATCAGAACGGTAAGCATGGTCTCGTATCTGACCTAGTTGAGATGTCCATGCCTAAGTTCCAATGCCATCTAGGCTCGTGCATTTTTAAATATTCGATTAGGGAAGAATATTTGGCATATTTTCAACTGTTTGGAGCTGATTAAGAAATGTCATTTCTCCTAGAAATGTGAAGTTATTGAATTATTCGTACTCTGTATGTCACTTCACTCATCATTGGGGAGTTTCCATACATTCTCAGTAATTTGAGTATAAAAATCAATAAGGATGAGATTCGTTTGGGCAAATATCATTAAACTATAGGTAGAATTTGAAAAACTGAACTTACATCTTATTTAACAGCCAATCATACAATGTTTCTTACACTAGTAGCGTTGGTTGTTGATTGTTTACCCCAATTTGTATGCTTCACCTGGCACATGGGTTAATCCTTTTGTACTAGAAAGCTGTATCGTAGAACCATTCAGCTGATACAAACTGTGTGATAAGTTGCATTTTATTTGTTCCGTTCAACGGGCGTTGCCCCAGGTGATAACCATATTACATTCACTTTCTACCCATTAATATATCTCTTTCCCTCCGTGGTTCAATTTCTCTTCCTTTCAGCCCTATTCAAAGATTTTCTGCGCGAACTTCCCGAGCCCCTTTTTACCAGTGCACTCTATCCTATGTTCTACGACGCTATGCAAGTCACACTGCCTGGATTTGCGCAAAGTGGAGCCAAGCTGATGCTGAATATCCTTGATTGTCTACCAACAAACAACCAGGTTCGTACCCTAAGAACATGCTTTTGTTTAGCCTTGTGTGTGTAGTTTTGGCTCTTATGATAGCATATCATTTATGTAGAATAGTTTGAAAGATTTTATTTGATTATGAACGACTATGGGGCAGAGGGTGCTAAAGTGTCACTCCGAACTGAAAAGCCTTATAAGCATTCACTCTCATGAAGCTTGTTAGGTATCATCAGAGATGCATACTGACCGCATCCACTGGGACTCGAACACAGGCATTTAATCTGATGTGCCCACCATTTGGGTCAGGGTGACTGTAAGCAATTTTTTGTAAGTTAGCACCACCTCTTAGTAGGGTATACACGATAATATTTATTTATCAGTAATAATGATGCAAACTTAAAACCCACTACCGATCTTCCCGTCAATTATTCCAATTTGCCAACGCAATATGCACTTTTAGGTTCATAATATCCACTAACGTTCACAACTTTCATATAGTTCTCAAACCTTGCACTTCTTTTCCCAGTCCACCATTTGTACCAGCCACTCGTCTTTACCACTCATTTCAACGGGAGCATGAGCAGATTCATCTCTCTCTCACATACATCTACTTTAAGACTGGTCATTATACACGCCATTTTCAAACCGTCATTTGGATCTTGTGAGTACCTTCTGCTTCCGCACAGAACATCATTCATCGGCTTCTGTAAGTCTGGAATGGATAAATGTGTGAATCAGATCGGTGCTATTAGTTCTTAGTGCGCCCCAACTGTCTGAGCAGCTGAGATAGTCGAGATCTGTTATGACCCAATATAACGGATGCATTTCAGTACAATTTACGTTTGCTGTACCCTTTTCACTACGCGCTATATCTCACGCCATATACCGAGTTTCCTGCAGAGTATCGTACTTCAATAAAAATGATGAACAATCGCACATATGAGGTAAGGAGCACAAATCACGTTGGGTTAGATGCTGGTTGACCGAGTCAGCTGATAAACGGTGATCCGCTAAAGAAACCTCACAATCTGAAACTTACTCAACGCTTACCTTCAAATGTAGCATCATCACGCTCATCGGCACTGGGACATCATCGGTCAACATTTCATACCGGAGAACACTAATAATACAAGCAACCTGAACTATACATCACTTAGTACCTGTACCGAAAAAGAGTTATATAAACTAATACTAATCTCAAGCTTTTCAGGTTCTTGTGCGCAAAGAACTGTCAGTCGCATTCGCATAACATTGGTAATGTAACATACAAGAATATCATATTGTAGAAGTAAACCCTATGGTCACAAAGCTTATAGTATAGTTGGCATGGAGGGGTGGGGAAACTGGTCAAAAACACAGCTTGTTGATTCTGTATCTGAATACACAAAGGTTAGTAGACTGACGGAAAAAGCCTTGGAGATATCAATGAAGACTAGTTATGACTCGGCATGGTGATCAATGGCAGAAAACAAAATACGCCAAAAAGTTGACTATGAACCTGTGACAGCGGAACCCATGGTGGGGGTTGTTGTTACGTTTGTTACGTTCCAAGTGATTGCGTTGTTTACTTGCATTCACTAATACCGTGACCTTAGAGACGAACAAAGTGATTGAGGCGGATCGATAATTGTGCGAAGGATGCATTACGCTTCAGAACTGGAAAAAACGTGAGCAGTTTTTCAACATGTGTGACGCATGCCATGGACAATAAATTGCAGGAAAGGAAATTAAACGATGGGGCAAACTCTGGTGCACCAGTCTTCAGCACGATTGGTGTAATGCTACCGAGGTTGAGTGGCTTGAATGTACCTAGCGCACATTGTACTGTCGGATATTCTCAGCTGTGGCATCGGGACAAAATGCGGAATTGTGATGAATGGCGATTACGAAAAGAGTGGTGGATGGAGGTAGGAAGCAAAAGACGAGACAAATATCACAGTCTTTTGACAGGGCTCCAGAACCCGTCCGTTATAAGCGTTCTCACCAGGAGAAACGAAGGAGATCAAAGATAAGGCGAAACTGCCTTAGCTAGGAACCTGGAGAGTGGGCGAGTTTGTTGGCCGTAAGACGAACAAAGTTAACTTCGGTTTTCTGAATTTTTCTCAAAATTTTGTTCCGGGTTTGCATCAAACAGCGATTAGGAAAGATTGATTTGGAGAAAACCGCTAATTTTGGAAAACTTTCCCCGTTGCATCTATTTTGCATTCATAAATTATTAGGGGAGTTTTGTTTTCCGTAGGCAGGTAGGTAGTAAACATACGGATGTCATAGAAAATGATCTTTACCGCACTCGCGACCGATTTGGATGATTCAGGACAAAAAGTGCAGTCGGACAACATTCCAGTCGGCCAACCTGTGACGGCTTGAACGACAGATTGCGACGACAGTCGGAGAGTGAAACTTAAGGATAAAAAGACATCCGATAATTAAATGGAAGCGATAGAGAAACGAGTGGGACTAGAACGAACTTACCAGTTTAACGGTGTATTCGCTCTCCCCTTTATGATTGGAAACAAGGATGAAGAAGGGGATTCATTACGATAAATTGTTTACAGTAACAGTTGCCTCCGAATCGTGGCCAACGGTTATGGTTGTCTCACTGTGTGCCCAACAGTCTTTGTTGTAATTACTGAAATCACCCGGAACGGTGAATCCGGGTGTTAGAGTCTAATTGCAGTACTTTTCTTGTGCAGTAGAATAAGATGATCAAGCACGGAATAAAACATGAAAAATGATTGCTTGTATATGGGATACAAAGCTTCGGTTGAATGAGTTGGTGTGCAATTGAAAACATCTTGANCGGATGGGGGGGGGGTGACTGCTGGTGAACGGTGAACTATCTCAAGTTCACCGTCTTTGAATAGAAAGGATACCTAGGTTGTACTGTGAGGGTACAGGAGATATGTAATACCTCCCGAAGAAGAAAATTAGGTTTTGGAAAGAAGGAAACCGAATGCAGAGGAGTGCATTGAAGATAGTGATTCCCGACATCGGTGTTGAGATTGAGAAGGCGGATCTTGATGAAAGCAAGCTGAGAGCCTGTGTGCATATCCATGAAGGGTTGTTTTGTAAATTCAGCAATCCCAATCCTGGGAAATGAAGTGCTGAGCCAGGCCCCAAATACAAATGAGTGATACTGAGCATGCTCTGCCGTCTTTGTGTATGCAAACCGAACTGCTAAATGATATACGATTTGCATGGGAAGTACAGAGGATTTCATTCGATTTCATCGCGGAATTCGTCGTGTATAGAGGAAATGAAGAAGCTAGGAAGTACAGGACAGCTGTTTCGACATGGTTGGGTCTCATCAGCAATGCAAATCCCTCAATTTATGGGGGGCGGCGGTACCGTTTTCATAAATCGTTTTGCTCTCAAATGCATTAAAATGCACAAAGCACTATAAACCTTATTTTATTACACTGGCTATCTATCTATCTATCTATCTATCTATTTATATCTATCTATATATTTATCGCTGTCCATAGATTCACCCATCTATCCCACAGCATTTGCTTCCATTCACCCCAGCAGTCGGGTTACACTAAAGTATGGGTTTAGATGCTTGAGTACCTTAAATTAGTAGCATCATCATCATCATCCTCATCATCAGTATCACCATTATTCTTCTGGGGGACTAACGACAACGGACTTTTCTCACGTCCGGTTATGATTGCTTCAACACCAAGTAGCCCGCACTCGCTCGTCTATGAATAGACAGCAATACTAATCAATTGGAAGTGTTATTTTCGGCATGGTTAGTTACTACCATCGTGTGTGTGTGCTGATGGAGAACGACATCCACATTTCACCGTGATCCGATCAGAACTACTCCGGGTTCCCATGGTACAAGAACTACTGCATTTCTGATGCGAATGAAGGAGCAGGGTTGTAAATTCTGCTTGAATTAGTGGGGACGGTAAATTGGAATCGCGAGCTCTTTTCCTTCGCGTCGCTCTTATACACCCACACCCTGTTTTGCGCGGTGGCACACACGGACGCACTGGTGCGCGCACACGAGTGCACGCGGCTCTAAGCGCTTGTCACCGAACGGATAATTCGATTCCCGCGTGGAAAAATGTGTGTGTGTGTGTGTGTGTGTGTGTGTGTGTGTGTGTGTGTGTGTGTGGAATTAGTGACTATCTCAACCGACGTTCATTCATTCTTTGTTTGTCTGTTTCTGTTGCGAGAAGAGTGAGATTGAACTGTGCATCCCCGTCCAACCAACCGCCCCCCGGAATGCACAGACACACATTTGCCGGATCCTACTGGGTATCCGTCCAATGCATACGCGAACATCGAGGACGAAAATGACCGAAAAGAATGTGTGCGTTTCTGTTCAAACAATTAAAAAAGTCCCTAATTGCCAGGATTAAAACTTTTGATACCCTATAAGATGAGATTTGCTTGCTTTTCCCCTCTGAATCGATTCACACCCTGGATAGGAAGATAGCTCAAAATTCGAGAGTCAAAATGTACACTTTTAGTCCATTCTTAAACAATTCTTTAATAATGTAGATTACTGCAAACCACCTATATACAGTTATAAATATAATGGGAGAGAAACTAAAAAAGATCTTGTAAAACACAAATGACAACACATACAGTGCCTCGTACCTGTCGAACTCCAATGTGCTAACGTGAACATACCATTCTCGACTGGTATAGCTATTCACTCAAGCTGTTGATCGTCAGCCGTACAGCTTAAAGCTGAGGATTTCGACGTTTCACTGGTAAGTTCGCGGTTTATGTCTCCAATGGGACACAAAAGTCACGCGCCGCTGACAGCTCTCATTAAGGACAAAACAACTAATCAGTGCCCGTTTGTCAGTGATCAAAACCAGCTTGGATGCATCTAACATGCGGATAATTCACCATATCACTAAGAATGAGATCCACAACCGAGGTGATGAAATAGTGCTCGGTGCTTGTTGTACAGTTAGAGTAGGCCTTTCCCAAGACGACAAGAAAAACTTGAATGCGACACAGTCAGGTAGTCTTAGCCCATTCAAAGTATCTCCGAGCTTCAGCTTGTGTCAACCAGACGAACCACCCCAATGAACGCTTGAAATCCAGTCACT